TTGTTAAGTGAGTTCTCCCCATTTTACAACCTTTCTTGCCACAGTCATTAAGTGAATCACTGCAGTGGTTACGTTCAGAAAATTTTGGGGCCAATTGTGGTTGTAAGTCCAGGACAACCTGTATACCCTTAAGATCATAATGTGCTAGCAGGATATACAATGTATTACCTCAAGAAACTTATGCAGATATTCCCAGGGTTTTTTCTCATTAAAGCCCATTGGACTTATTTTTAAATTAAATATCAAACACAGATTTATACAGCGTAGAATGCCCAACTGTTAGTCCATCAGAATATGAATAACTAGCTTGATACCTGTGCTTTGCTACGAAACTATGTGGTCAGGCTTAGTTTTGGGAGAGGAAAATAAGGGAAAAACATTGTGCCTCTGCCTACCAGTATCCATCAGTATCCATCTGGCTAGCATCCTGTCAGTTTGTGAGAGAGTTGAGGGCTGTTTGGAAACTGAAACAGTGTTTGCTGTGTGAGCAAGGAGACAGCAAGGAGCCTGGGCATGGCTTAGCTCAACTGTTCTGTACTAAAGCTGCTTGCTGCTGTGAAACTGAAACTAAAACTGAAACTCCTCTGCTTGTGTTTTGCATTTGGAACAGATTTCTTTTCAGGAGGGGAGGGGGAGTAGAGCTATTCAGCATCAGAGCGTGTTAATAATAATATAGGAAATACTAATGCTCTGATGGTCATTTCTAAAAATCCTTTCTTAGTGAGCACCTAGAAGCCGAGAGGAACATATGTGCCAAATTTGAAGTTTGTAGGCTTTACGGTTCTGGAGAGTTTGTGATGATGCGTGAGTGGCATTTCGCTTTTATATATCTATATATAGCTTATGCTTGTCCCCAAATGCCATTTGTGCAGAAAAAGAGGTACACGACAGTAGAATTGGTGATTCCAAGAATTGAATCAGGGAAACCAACATGTAGACACGTGCCCCATGGCACTGAAACAGCCCAACAGTTCAATTTTGCTCGATAACAGAAGAGATTCCACAATGAGTCAGGTGAGCCATAAGTTTACTCCGTACCTGTTTTTTATCCTCTTTAAAAGCAAAAAGAGAGCTGGGAAAAGGAGCAGCGGGTGTGGGCGTGAACCTTCAAACTTTGCTTTTTTAGAGGAACTTTCCGAAAACTTCAAAGCTATGACTAATGCGGACTTTAATCTTCCCCCATTTCATTTTGAGAGTTGAGTTTTTTTGTACGTAAGGAGTAAGCCTGGCGTGTAGCTGAAGAGATAAGCAAGCTCTAGATTGTTGGGGGGTTTTTTTGTTAATGGAAAATGCCTGCCTGGACTCTGTTGGTGTTTTTGGGGGGGGGGGGGGGGGAGGAGGAGGTCGAGGAAAAAAAATCTATTTGCTGAGTCGACAGGCAAGACAAATCTTTTCCGTGCCTGTATATTGGTGTTACTGGTTTCTTTTCTTTTTTTTTCATGTAGAGTTGGACGTAGAATCAAGAAATAAAAATAAAAAGAGGTTTATGGAGGAGGACGTGTTGCAAAGAAACGGAGAGAAAGATTTTATTAGAGTTAGTTTTTAACAAGCCGCCTAGGAGTAGGACAACTCTCCCTGGTGGGTGGAGAAGAACAGAGCCCATATGTTTTTAGCAGATGGTTATATGTCAGTTTGTAGCAGGGAGGAACAGGATGGGATGACTAACGGCTATTTTTCGTATGGTGGCCCACATATATAGGCAGTCCCCGTTCATTTAGTGACTGTTGGAAGTTACAACGGCACTGGAAAAAAGAGACCGATGACCATTTTTCACAGTGATGACCGTTGCAGCGTCCCCCTGTGGTCATGTGACTGACATCCACCCGCTTAGCAACAGGTTCATATTTGTGACGGTTGCAGTGTCCCAGGGTTGCGTTATCCCCTTTTGTGACTTTCTGACAAGCAGAGAGTCAATAGGGAAGACAGATTTGCTTAACAAGCGTGTTACTGATTTAACAACTGCAATGATAGAGTAGAATAGAACAGAACAGAATAGAATAGATGATTTGGAAGGGAAGGGAAGGGAAAGGGGAATAGAATAGAATAGAATAGAATAGAATAGAATAGAATAGAATAGAATAGAATAGAATAGAATAGAATAATAGAATAGAATTTTTTATTGGCCAAGTGTGATTGGACACACAAGGAATTTGTCTTGTGCAAATGATCTCAGTGTACATAACAGAAAAGATACATTCGTCAAGAGTCAAGAATCATCAGGTACAACACTTAATAATAGTCATAGGGTACAATAAGCAATTAAATCATTCTAGGAAACAGTCAATAGAATATAATAGAATGAGAATAGAATGGAATGGAACAGAACAGAATAGAATAGAGTTCTTTATTGGCCAAGTGTGATTGGACACACAACGAATTTGTCTTGGTGCAAATGCTCTCAGTATACATGAAAGAAAAGATACATTCGTCAAGAGTCAAGAGTCATAAGGTACAACACTTAATAATAGTCATAGGGTACAATAAGCAATGAAATCATACTAGGAAACAGTCAATATGAATCGTAAGGATACAAGCGACAAGGTTACAGTCATAAAGCCACAAGGGTGAGGGGATGGGTGAAAGGAAGGATTCAGTTAAATGGGCATGAAAGGATGTAAAATGGGGCAATGCTCGCTTAACTACTGTCTCGCTTAACAACACAAATTTTCAGTGCAATTCTGGTCATAAGCCGAGGTCTACCCATAATTAGGGCCCAGGTCTGTTGTTTACTAGGTCTAGCCCAGGGGTGTCAAGCTCAAGGCCCACGGGCCAACTCTGGCCTGCGAGGTGCTTAGATCTGGCCCACGGGGTCCCCCTGGAAACAGCAACGGACCGGTTTGCGGTGCTTCTGCCAGCAAAAATGGAGCTCAGGAGGGCCGCCCATAGCTGGCAGAGGGTTGCAGGAGGTCATCACGGCCGACAAAGGAACTTGGGAGCCCGTTTTTTTCTGGCAGAGCCCTCTGCCCACCACAGGCACCCCAGACACGAGTGATGTCAAGCTGGCCACACGCACCCTGGCCATGCCTAGTCTAGCCAAATCCTAGGAGATTTAAATCCCATTTTACTTTTTACTACTTGTTTCACAGAGTTCAATTTCCATGCCTGGGTTTTTAATAAAATATTAAGATACTTAAAGCTGTAAGGAAAATAATTATCTGGCAGCAATTTCTTGCCCGACCGTGGGATCATGCAACAATTGAGGAAGGATTGAAACCAATGCATGAGAATGAAGCTATTGTGGCTCCCTTTAGCCCAGACAATCTAATTTCATTTTCAAAAATGAATCTGATTTCTTCTCCCCTCCTGAGAAGAATAAACATTGCCCTGCTTTGTTCCAGCTGTTGAT